TGTTGCCATTGTGGATAATGGCTCTCACTGTGGTTTGCTGGAGTCCCAAAGCTTTAGAAATGGCTTTATAACCTTTACCAGACTGATAGATCTCAGTTACTTTTGTTCTCATTTGTTCTTGAATTTCTTTGGATCTTGGCATGATGTGTAGCTTTTGAGGTGCTTTTGGTCTACTTCTCTGTGTCAGGCAGCTCATATTTAAGTGATTTCTTGATTGAAACAGGTGTGGCAGTAATCAGGCTTGGGGGTGGCTACAGAAATTGAACTCAGGTGTGAAACACCACAGTTGGGTTATTATTTAACAAGGGGGGCAATTACTTTTTCACACAGGGCAATGTAGGTTTGGATTTTGTTCTCTCCCTAAATAATAAAAAACATCATTTCAAAACTGCATTTTGTGTTTACTTGTGTTATCTTTGACTAATGGTTAAATGTGTTTGATGATCAGAAACATTTTGTGTGAAAAACATGCAAAAGAATAATAAATCAGGAAGGGGGCAAACAGTTTTTCACACCACTTTACATGCAGCCAATAAGCTGTTCAAAAGCCAGTTATTTGAAATAAACCGGTTCCGCAAGGCCATGTAAACACTGGCAAAAACCTGGTTATGCACATTACCTGAATTGTAAAAACCAGGTTATTACTCCTGGGGTAACCCTTTTCTAACCCGAATATCAGGTCATGTGAACGCGTATCGGGATGAACCTTTCAAAAGGTGCTCTCTGCACATATTCTGTTTGCAAGGATTCTTTGTCTTTGGAGTCGATCAGGGGTTGGCAACCTTTTCCAATCAAAGAGCTTTATTACCCATTTCCCAAAATAAAAGAAACATGGGGAGCCACAGCAGCCGCGGCGTTGTGGGTGAGCCTACCAGGCCTGAGCAGGTGCCATTTTTTATGTGTACCGTGTCTCCTTTTAAAACATGTTTAAACTGTTCACAATATAAAATCCAGGCTTTGTCTCACTGGGTTATTGTAATTAAACTTTATATTGAACAGAACGTTACATGAAGCACAGCAGTGTGTGGGTCTATCAGCAGTCTAAAGGAAGTAATTGCACTGAAGTGTTTGTTTTCAGTTAGTCAAAAATAACTTCACATCCCAGAGAGGCAGTTGTGAGACAAACTCTTACAGTGATATATGTTGTGGACATTTCTGCTGCTGATGTGGAGCGTTGGTGTGTAGTCCCTGAGCTGACCTGGCAGGGCGTGGCCAAACATGTCTGAAAAGCTGCTCTTTGATGGGGAAATTTTAATGTTTGTCAAATATTTGCTGTTTAAATGATGGCCCACAGTACATTACTTCACTTTGTTTAGTTTTCTGGGTTTTGTTTAGGTTGTTTATCGTTTTCTGGTTAACATATTGAGATAGTGTTTTAAGCTATGTTGTTTCATTAGTTATTGGATAGTTTTGCTAGGGATTTACATCAGATAATCCTAACTAAAGGAAAGATGGTAGCTTGGCTTACATCTGGGACCCATAATAGATTATGGGTTGCACCATGTGTGATCTTTTTAACCAAGTAAAGACAAGTGGAAAACTTGAGATTCTGGTGGGTGTCTGATTAATGAATCTGTGACCCTAATCCTCTGCTTACTCCACCACACAGCACAGGATTTCTAGGTGCAGCCAAGGTGTTGAGGGGATACATTTTAATGGCCTGAGGATTGAGTCTGCTTTATGCAGATGACGTGATCCTGTTGGCTTCATCAGAACATGATCTCCAGCTCTCATTGGTGCAGTTCACAGTCGAATGAGAATCAGCTTCTCTAAATCCGAGACCATGTTCTTGATTCCGAAAAGGATAGAATGCCTTCTCTGGGTCAGGGACAAGGCCCTGCCCCAAGGGGAGGAGTTTAAGTATCTCGGGGTCTTGTTCACAAGAGTGGGAAAGATGGAGTGTGAGATCAATAAGCGGATCGGTGCTGCATCTGCAGCGATGCGGGCGCTGTACTGATGATTTATGGTGAAGAGAGAGCTGAGCTGGAAGGCAAAGCTCTCGATTTACCAGTCACTCTATGTTCCTACCCTCACCTATGGCTACGAGCTTTGGGTAGTGACCGAAAGAACAAAATCATGGATGCAAGCAGCCAAAATGAGTTTTCTTCACAGGGTGGCTGGGCTCTCCTTTAGGCATAGGGTGAGACGCTCGGTCATCTGGGAGGAGCTCGGAGAACACCCGCTTCTCCTAGACATGGAGAGCAGCCACTTGAGGTGGCTCGTGCATCTAGTTAGGATGCCTCCTGGACGCCTCCCTGGTGAGGTTTTCCAGGCACGTCCAACTGGGAGAAGACCCAGGACACTTTGGAGGGACTATTGGGCCATTCCCATCTGTACCGTGTCGGCCCGGGCCTGGTAGCCCCAGTTGGCCCCAGCCTGGCCCGGTTGATTCCACACATCCTTGCCTTAAGCACATGTGGGCTGATTCTACCCACCAATCAGAGGCTTGCTCTAATGGAAGGTGTGAATTTGCTGTCAGCAGTGGGTGTGTTGGCCCTGGTCGGCCTGAAGCAGACCCCCTCGAGAAGAGGGCTGAGAATGAGCCTTGGTTGGCCCGGAAAAATACCAGGTCACCCAGATATGTAAACAGCCTACGCTACCCGGCCCGGGCCGACCCGGTACAGATGGGAATGGCCCATATGTCTCTCTCCTGGCCAGGGAACACCTTAGGATTCCCCCGGAGGAAAAAAAAAGATTCCCCCAGAGGTGCTGGCCCAAGTGGCTGTTTAGGTTACTGCCCGGTCCCAGATAAGTGGCTGAAAATGGATGGATGGATGTTGCAAAGCAAACAGAGTCAGTGGTAGAGTTGCTTTGCTGTTAGCCAATCAGAGGCCAGATGTCCAAAATTCAGGAATACATCCAAATTCTGTTGTCTGAAGTTACTTTCTCCTAAATTCTCAATCCTCAAACAGGCATATCAGAATGACTCAAGACAGTCATTCCCACTAGAGACGACTGCAAATGTATTAAAACATGAGTAAAGTTGACCTTTAAAATAACCTGACAGTGGATGATGTTTTTTATGTTTCTCACCTGTTTTCCAGTGTAAATATGCACCTTTTCAATCCCTAAAACTGCATTAAAATCATAATTGCTTTTTATTTAAAAATGTCCACCCTTCAAGGGCAAATGTGAGAAATAAATAGATATATAAACTATATATACATACATACATATATATATATATATATATATATATATATATATATATATATATATATATATATATATATATAGTGTGTGTGTGTGTGTGTGTGTGTGTGTGTGTGTGTGTGTGTGTGTGTGTGTGTTGGTGTAAAGAGGAAAAATTTGAGTGAGAGAAATATAAAGTGGAGGGAAAGATAAAAGTGGGGAGATAAGAGTTAGTTTATCCAGCATGGTGGGGAACGAATAATCCTCTTGTGTTATTACACCACACTTACATTTAGTATTACGTTTTTGTAAAGATGTTTTGAATTAGATATTTGTCACTCGACACAACATTACCAATATACCTTTATTTCCAAGTTAATTCCAGTTAATTTTTTGCTTTTTCCAAAGACTTTTTATGATTTAGCATGGGAAAAGTAGAATTTGCATTCTAAGTAAAAGTAGAATAGAAAAAATTCAATGTCTGAATCCAATATTCTGTAGAATTTACAAAATAATCAAACTCCTTGGTCTGATTATGTTTGTTAAGGCTACTGAAAGTCACTGGCTATGAAACTAAGCACTGCAGTGGCTCACATGAGAATATTACACAGTATTACCACGTCTGGTTTTCAGTGTGTGTGAAAGGGTGATGCTTTTATGAAGAACATGTGGTTCATAAATGAAACCTCTTTTTTCAGGCTCAGTTGGGCTTTTTGACAGATTGAAGCTCACTTACACACATGTGGGGCCGATGCTGACAGGATTTCCAACTAAAGTCATGGTGCTAATGAGGTCTTGGCTCCCTGTAACATTAAAATCCATCGGCTAAATAGTTTTTATTATTTTGTCTGTCTGATTGGATAAAGCCTAATTCTTTGTTTCCTCACCAAAAAGTGAGCAAGAATTATAAACATTTTATTGGTGTTCAAGATTTATTTGTATTACTCTTCAGAACCTTCAGAGTACCTGTAATGTGTGTGCTGACGTCCAACATGTTAGTTATAGTTGTTACTGGCTCCTGCGGCCAATGCAATTCTGCTCTAATGTCAGTTATGAGACATACATTGATGCTGTAACCATGGAAACAGCATACACGTCATCTGAAGATAAACATAGTTAGTGCTTTAATGAGAATAAGAGTGTCACTTCAGCTTTCGGTAACAGTAAGATTTCCGTGAACATGTTTTAAACCGATAATAGAGAAATCAAAAGACTTAAATTGACAGATTCGTCAGACTCACCTGACCTCTCCTGGATCTTCGATGACCAGCACGTCTGTCTTGCAGCTGGCAATGGGGTTGATTGACAGCTCTACCGGTGGCACCACAAAGCTCTTGCTGACTGGAAGCCACAACCCTTGGCCCAGACTGTAGAATGACCTGTTTGTTGGCATAACAACAAAGCATATATGTCAACTGGACTCTAATGAAATCATCATATGTTGACTAGCACACACTACACATACATATGATGCAGACACACTGCTGCGTGTCTGCACATAGTGATGAGGGTGTGTGAGAAGGCTGTTGGGGAAACATTACAACCAAGTGCACTGTTTTTTAACAGACTGTGGTTTTTCCATTGACATGGGAGCTAATGAACAATGAGCGAGTGAGAAAAAATAGACACAGACATCTCAAATGATAGATAGATAGATAGATAGATAGATAGATAGATAGATAGATAGATAGATAGATAGATAGATAGATAGATAGATAGATAGATAGATAGATAGATAGATAGATAGATAGATAGATAGATAGATAGATAGATAGATAGATAGATAGATAGATAGATAGATAGATAGATAGATAGATAGATAGATAGATAGATAGATAGATAGATAGATAGATAGATAGATAGATAGATAGATAGATAGATAGATAGATAGATAGATAGATAGATAGATAGATAGATAGATAGATAGATAGATAGATAGATAATAGATGATAGATGATAGATGAATCATGATGGTGGTCCAAAAAATTGAAATATAAAAAGAATATGACATAGTGACTGCAGTAATTCCCAAATATGACTTGCAGACCGTCCTGTAGATTGCAAAACAAAAAAAGAAAAATCCAAGTAGTACAAATCCTGATGTGATCATCCATCCATCCATCCATCCATCCATCCATCCATCCATCCATCCATCCTCTTCTGCTTATGTGAAGTCGGGCCGTGGAGGCAGCAGCCTAAGCAGGGGGGCCCAGACTTCCCTCTCCCCAGTCACTTGGGCCAGCTCGTCCAGGGGAACCCCAAGGCGTTCTCATGGAGCCGTCCTAGATGCCTCCTTGATGAGGTTTTCCAGGCACGTCCCACAGGGAGGGGACCCATGGGAAGCTCTAGGACACTCTGGAAGGGCTATGTTTCTCAGCTAGGCAAGGAACACTTATGGATTACCCCACAAGAACTGGCCCAAGTGGCTGGGAAGAGGGAAGTCTCCTGCTTAGACTGCTGCCTCCACGGCTCGACTCCACATAAGCAGAAGAGGATGGATGGATGATCACATCAGGATTTGTACTACTTGGATTTTTTTTTTTTGTTTTGCAACCTCTTTTTTTATTTTTTTGGTCAGAAACATAAAAGCTCTGCAATTAAATGCAAAATAACATTGTGAATAATATTTATAATATATTCTGAAAAATAATAATAATATATATAATTAATAAAATATTAGGATCACATTTAATACATAAAGCATCTAAAAAAGCTATCATAATATATAAATTAATAAATAACTTAACTGCTAATTAACCAGACCTATCACAACAACTAAAGTCATTTTCAGGATGTAGCTTTTTTCTTGGTGTACATATTATTTTATTTTTATTTATTTTATCCCATCCTGTCCTGGCAGTTCAAGCACACACACATTGTTTTATCTGGGTGCCATAAAATACCAGAGTAGTTTTACTCTACACCACGAAAGAAACTCAGAAACATTTAATATATGAGATGGACTCATTACATAAAGCCATAAAGGTATGTTTCAAGCCTCTGTGATGATTATGTCTTACAGCTGATGAAAACCCCAAATTCAAAATCTCAGACAATTAGAATATTGTGAAAAGGTTCAATATTCTGGACTCAAAGTGTCACACTCTAATCAGCTAATGGATCCAAAACACCTGCAAAGGGTTCCTGAGGCTTTAAACTGTCTCATTTTAAGACGAATGACTGAAATAAATGGACCTTTGCATCCAATTCTTCTTTTGTTGAGTTTCACCTGTAAAGTCCTGATTATATTAGACATTCTGAACAATAAAAGACTAAAAGAAGATATAAAACAGTTTCATACCTCCATCCTTTGGTACATAATTCACAACTTTCTGAATATTTACAAAAATCATGTTACAAAAGCTGATTCACATTTAACAGAATACAACAAATATAGTGCCATGCATCTCCACTAATAGAATAATAAATACAGTTTTTTAAGCAAGAAGGTTTAAAAATCCATACCATAACGCAGATGTTGTAATTCAGCTAATGTCAGTGAGTTTCTATGTAGAGAATTTGTGGTAGCAAATACAATGTTTAGAACTACATTAGAGAAGGGGGGGGGGGGGGCTAGAGTCTGATATGAACACTTGCCTGTTGGGACCATGCAGGGGGCTGTGACTTGTCACTTTGCAATAATGACAAAACAATTTACAAGCAGTGAAAGAGATTTTTGAGCATGTTGTGGATAGGATACGCTGCTTGAATATGAGGCCCCAAAGATTGGTTCAAGCACCCTACCAGCCTTTAACCCTCCCACTGTCTTTATGGGTGACCCCACGAGGAAAGTTGACCATTGAGCAGGGTTGATGGTTTATCCCTTGAGGTCCATGTGGCAGGGGTGAGGTGGTGCTCACTCCTGCCACATGGACCCAAGGGATAAACCATCAATCCTGCTCAATGGTCAACTTTACTCGCGGGGTCACACCCATTAGGACAGTGGGAGGGTTAAAGGAAATGTGATCTCACCAAACACGAGTACATCTGTAACAAGAATGCGTCATCTTGGAGGTACAGGAACTGATCACTAGAACACTTGGCTTTAATTTTCCACGACAGTTTCCAAACTGCAATGAAAACCATTCTGCTTGAACAAAGCCCTGCTGGCAATACCCTGACAAGGATCAAAGAATCCAAACACAATACTCTCAAAATCTATCTGTCTTGAATAAGATGCTCATTTTCTCACTTTTGCTTAAATCTATTAAAAACTATTTCAGCTTTGCAACTATGAAGCTAACCCCTGCTACTGCAAACCTCCTCTTTTCCCCATCACGAGGACTGACTCAGTCAAGATGAAGAGTCATGCAGTCTTCCATCCTCCTCCTCCTCCTCTACAGCAGTGATTTAGAAACTTTCCAACTTTTAAGGCCAACACAAGCTTCCCCTTCACTGCTGGAACTTTACTCACCGTTTTGTGCTGGTTTGAGGCAAAAATGGTTTTGCTCTGAAAATTGAATGTGTTTGTGTCACTGCTGCCTGCGTGTGTGTATGCTTCTGGATCTCCTGTGTACTGTAGTGCTTTTTAAGAGGCAGTGCACAGAAGCGTGTTGTGCTGTAAACTATTGAGATTCTTATAGAGAACTCTACATGTGCTGCTACCTCTGCAAGGTCAATGTGAAGAAGAATGAGATTATAGTAACAAACATTCCTCCTACCTGCATGGTGGAGGGATGGTGAGCGCAAATGTGCTGAGGATATTTCATACCAGCTTGTGTCGCTTCAGAACCTGGCTAGGAAAGAGCACCTGGGTGACTGTTTTTGTCACTGTGCTCCTTTGAGCTTCTTTTATTTCTTGAAAAATGTCAAACATGATGACCCCATCAAGACAGAGGAGTGCAATGAAAATTACAGTAAAAGCATTTGAAAGAGTACCATCCAGAACTGGTCCCAGGGCGATTTTGCACCCAGACAGGGGTGAGACTTCCCTCCAGCATGAGGTGTCTTACCTTATCCATCCAGCTGAATGTATATGCATCTGTCAGCTCCTAATCTGTATGCTCTGTCTCACACAGGCAACTCGTATATGATTTCATGCCAAAAATACAACCGCTGTGTCTACAGTCACAGATGGCCAGCACAAGTCAGGCACTCATATGCACTGAGGCGTAGGACTCACCTGAAGATTCTCTCTGGGGCCTGCTCTCCTGTAACTAGGTCATAGCCTTTCTCCAAGTTCGCATATGGCCAAGGACTAAGGAGAAGACAGAAAAAAAGGGTCATTCAAGCATGCCGGTGTCATCTAAATAAATGGTTCGGGTGATCGGGATGCTCCGAGAACTTTGACTTCTGCAACAAAAGTC